ATTTTGAGGGAGGGGCCACTGCTTCTCCCAGACATGTTTGTCCACCAGCCACTGTATAGGAGGCGTAGGACACTCTGCGCCCTTCACTGCAGTGGCCCCCATCAAAAATCCGTCCCGATGCGCACTCCCCAGATAGATATCCCTCCCCCAGAGGTTGGCAGGAGTAGAAGTAACATGAGGCCTGACCCAGGCCGTCTGTCCCTCCAGGTTCGTGACCAGCACAGGCCACTGGCTCACGTAGCATTGCGCCGTCCCTCCCAGGCCCGCGACAGATGTCCCCACGGGCTCCAAGGGCCACTCCGGGGGCCAGGCAGCAAGGGAGAGAACCGTGACGTCAGCACCGCTGTCGAGAAGCCCACGGAGGTGGATTGGCGATGGCGTCACACCAGGAACAGACAGGGTACACAGCATCTTGGGATGGTCCTTGGTCAGGACAGCAGTCCAGTGAACTTGAGGCGGCCCAGTGGATCCAATTCCACCAGCTCCACGCGACTGGTCAGCTGTCCTGCGAACAGAGGACTTAAAAGGCACAAGTTGAGCAAGTCGCGTCCCTTTTGGGATTGTGACGGGGGGGTGGGTGTGGAGACCATGGCACAAATCTGCCCTGTGAAATCTGCATCAATGAGCCCCAAGTGATCAATGATGCCCTGAAGGGTGGCACTAGACCTCCCCATCAGGAGAGCACTCATGCCCCCACCCAAGGGACCAAAGGCATCCAGGGGAACCTTGCATATCTCAGAAGATTCTAAGACAACTGTTTCTGCAGTGCAGACATCCACCCCTGCTGATCTGCGGGTGCTGGTTGCAAGCCGGCAAAGGAGACCTCCATCGGCACCGGGGTCTGGAGAGAAGCTTGTGTGTGCACGTGCCCCTCCTGCATGCTCCGCTTGACGTTTCCCGAGCCCGGTAAAGCCTGGCCATTAACATGAACAGTTGCCTTGCAAACACTGGACATGTGATTCGGCCTACCACACCGACCGCACAAGAACATGGGGAATTTGACCTTCTGCGCTTTCTTCCCCAGCTTCCTGCCAGCCTGCACAGTCCCCTTCTGTGGCCGCTTGCCCTGCGGCACCACCCAAACTGGCTGCACAGTGGCAGCCACAGCAGCCAACTTCCGACCCAGGGGAACGATGTCCGCACAGGCCTCCGCCATCTCGGAGATAGTAGGAACATCAGGCAGAGCCACTATGACCTTCCTACAAGCAGCATTGCAATTACACCTGACAAGGTTTGCAATCGTAACGCTCCTTGCCAGAGGATCAGGCACCTGCTTCTCCATGGACGCAATCAGCCTTGCCGCAAATGCCATGAAAGGCTCATCATCCCCCTGGACAATGGTCGCAAACGGCTGCTTTGGAGCAGCCATTTCCAGGGTCTGAACAATCGCTGCCATGCCCAGCGTGTGGCACTGGTCAAGCACAAGAGGATCGTATCCAATCTGCCCCTGAACACTTTCATAAAGCCCTATCCCCATCAGCATGTCAACAACAACCCCCCGCCTGGGGTCCTGCTGCGCCAGCACAGCATTCTGCATCACTGCTTGGGCCGCCAAATGAGCCCACTTGGTCTCAAAAACACCAAATTGCACAGGGTCAAAAAGAGAATGTGCCACACGACGGAGATCATGAGGTGTCAGCACGTCCGTAGCAATCCTCCAGAGCCTCAGCAGACACCAAACCATGCTGAGCAACTGCTTCACGGAGTTCCTTCTCCAGCTTATATGAAAGGGGTTCATGGGTGTTATGAGCAACGCCCCTGAGCACAGGAAAAGCCTGGGGACCCCCTGGCAAAGCCACCGCACCTGCTGTGTCCTGGCCCTTGGGCCCCACGGGGACAAGAGAGTATGATTGACTGGGAGCCAGGTCAATACCACTCGCCCCTGCGCCCCCTGCAGCACCGGCAGAGCCAAAGGAGCCCACTCTGCGACCCTGCAGTTGCGCTAAAGGTAAACACCTCAGCGCCCTGTCGCGCTGCAGCTCCGGCAGGGGACGCCTTGGCGGATGCAGGTGCCGGCACAGCCTGCAAATCCGGCGCGGGCCGGGACAAAACCGGCACGGGGCCCCTGGCCCCCGACACGGGGGAGGAACGGGATGCCGAGAGAGGCGCGGCCTGCGGAGCCGCGTCACTGCGGGGCGGCACAAGGGAGCCCGGTAAGCCCCTTATGAGAGCCCGTCCCAGGCCGCAAGACTCCACAGCGGGCACCGCCCCCACCGAGCGGAGAGGGGCAGGCTGCCCGCCCACCGGAGCAGGGCTGGACGGAGCGCGGATCGACACCCCGTCCCCGGCTGCTTTCACCGACTTTGCATGCCCAGCAGGCTGCGCAGGCCCAGAGACGGGCAAAGTCGCCCCCCCCGCTGAGGAGCCCGACTCAGGTGCGGGCGAGCCCACCCCCGCCGCGCTCAGGGGGAACGTGGTGGACACACCGCAATTTGGACAAAAAGTCGTCACCGAATCAGACTCAAGTCGAGGCGGAGGCTGACCCTCAAAGGCCAGGAAGGCACAAAGAGAGGGCAACCTGTCCCCCGCCCCGCCACCCGCGCGAGGCAAGGCGGGGCGAGGACGGCCCGTCGAATCCACAGAGACCCCAGAAACCCACGGGGCTCCGCCTCCCCGGACCCGGGACCAGCTGGCTGTGAGCCCAATCCACCCCGGGGGAACAATCGCCACCCCCAGCACACCGTCCTGGGGCGGGGAGGGGGACTCCACATCGCACAGAAGCGCAAACTCCCCCTCGTCCACATCCGAGACAGAAGGGCTCCCCTGGGAATTCTGAGGGGTACCAGAACCAGACCCCCGCCAAAGCTCCTAACATTTTTTCCACTGTACCAGCAGCGATCCCACGTCTACAGTGCAATCATCAAAGAGGGCCTCCATGAAGTGGACCCCCACGAGAGACCACTCCTCCCTGGAGAACACCTTCCCAGGGACCGAAAAGAACCCTCACTCTCAGACCCACAGAATCAATCTTTCAAAATCATCCCAGGAAACAGAAACCTGTTTCCACTCCAGGACCCCCCTCCAGAGATCCAAAATGAGGGAATCATCCTCGAAAACCACAGACGTTGCCATTACCCCAAGAACAGCAGGCAAAGCACCAAAAGGAAGGGGGGAAAAGACTTCACTGCAGTCCGCTGTCTGTGTCTCAGCCTAGGCTGCAATACACTCAGTGGTCACCAGATGTCGCTACAGGACACGAAAAAACACAAGCTCACCACCGTTCTCAAGGTGAAGAAAAAAGGGAAGTTTATTTTCTGACTCCAACATTTATAGTTTTCTAAAAGTGACAGCGGATTGGAGGGTGACAGTGACACCTCTCCAATGACACTGGTCAAACCAACAGTCCATCAACTCTCTCCTCCTCCATAAAGGAATGCAAAACAATGAGTTATTTACAGAAAGTGTGTGAGAAAGTTCACTACAAGAATGTCAACATCAGAAGGTTTAGAAAATCTTAAAAAACCAGGGTGACAGACTACCAGCACTAGGTTGTTACAGTGTGAAATGGAAGAGGAGGATTTAGAATTGAGAACCCAGCCTCCTGTTTAACTGGTCCCAAAGAAAGAGCCTTAAAGGAGGCTCGTGACTGTATCCAGGTAATGGATCTCCAGACTCAAGCAAGGGAAGATTTACAGGACCCCTCTGCCAAATGCAGAAAAAGTGTTCATTAATGGATCTTCAAGGATAGTAGGAGTTTGAGAATGAACTCCACTCCTCAGTTGAATTATTTAAAAAAATTAATAAAGGACAATAGGGGATAAAAACAATAAAGCAAAACGAGCAGTGCTGGGTGTGTAGACGCAGCCAGAGGCACACTGGTTAACCATAGCAACTCTTCTTACATACACTTTCTATTGCAATGGTCAAATACATAAATGATTATACATATTCAAATATTTCTTTGAACTCAATTACATGTTCCAGGAACTTTTTAGCATTGCCTCTCCTCTGATCTGCCTTTTTAGAGCATGTGCAGTAATCTTGGATGTGGTTTTGAGGGTGATGTGTCACCTCCTCACAATGGCCCCCTTTTCCATAGTTTCAGCAGGTGACAGTTGTTGATAGTGTCAGCAGCAGGGGCCCTCCATCATGGCCATTCCACAAATGTTATCCGACCATGCAGACAGTTTAGTTGTTTCATTCATTGCAAGTTAACCACAAGTACTCTAAATCAGCATCAGCTACTTCAAAAATGTGTCTGAGTTATTTAAATTATTGTCAGTCACAAAAATAAAATCATTAGCCATTATTTTGCAACTATAGCTACTTCTGCAAAAGTTAACATTATATTGTAATGCACAGCACATAGCATCCACTTTAATATTTGTGAAAGCCAAAACTATAATATGTGTTTATCACAGGAGGAAAACGAGTTATCAGATATACTATAATGATGTGTGGAAAAAGACTCCACAACTCACAAAACTTGTAAAGTAGGTATGTATTTTTCAGCCCTCAGACACATGAGGGGATAGCTTCTCCAAAATCATGTGCACTGTCAACAATACTTATCCCTCTATTTATTCTCTAAAGTATTACATATTCATTAAGTTTCATACATATTCATTACCTAGCTACCTAGCCCCGCCTAGCCTCGCTTCGTATTTTAATGAGTCAAAAAGTAATTTCCATATGCCTTGAGCTTGTGCTGTGCTCCCTGGTGGTCGTGTGGTGGTCGTGCAAGATGAAGTAAATAAGTCTTCCTCAGGGTTGAACTTTTCACCTTGCCTCCTTGCGCCTGCTCCCTGGTCTCTTGGTCTCAGTCCAAGCCTTAAGGCTGGTTTTAGCCAGTTTGGGGTCCAGAGAGCTGAACCAGGTCATGGTTCCTTCCTTTGAACAATAGCCTTACATCCTGTCATCCTGCTTTTGCAAGCACAATAAATGTTAAGCAAGTGATATACATTGTTTAGCCAACTGCCCCTAATCAATCATTCTTCAACTCCTAACTCCTTTGCATCAATTGTAAAGGGAAGGGAATTGCAAGAAGGGGGGAGGCGACCATGCACATGGTCAGAACAAACCACAGAATCATATGCCTTAAAAGCCTGCAAAGTGTATCAAGGAAAGATAGTGAATATTTACAGATTCCAAGTATGCATGTGGGGTGGTACGTGAGTTTTGAGAGCTGGGAGGTGAGAGGTTTGTTAAAGTGCAGGGAAAAACGTTTGCTCAATAGAGCTCAATTACTCACTTGTTGGAGGTGATGAATTTACTAAAAGAGGTAGAAATAAGAGCTGTTAAGGGACATCAGGCAGAATGCTCAGAAGAGACAATAGGTAATCAGCTGGCCAATGGAGATGTTCAGAAAGCAGCACTTCTGCCAGAGGTGTCTAGGATCCTCCCTTTGCTTTCTGTGACAGCTGTTGCCAGGAGGAGGGCGGAAGTGGTGGTGGTGGTGCTGTGTTTTTCACCAGAGGAGCTGGAGATAATTAAAAGTGCTGGGGCAGAAGAAAGAGGTGAGAATTGAGTTGCAAAGGACAGTAAACAGTGGATGCCAGGAGCTTTGAGTCTGCAAATATTGGGACAGCTCCATGGGGGGAGTCATTGAGACACTTGAGGATTTGCAGAGATGTTCTTCTAGATGTACTGTGGTAGGCCAGGGACAGGCGCTCGGAAGATTTCGGGCTGTAACGGAAAGTTACAGGAATCCTTCTACCCCCCTCCCCATAGATAAGGATCACCCTTGGAATGTAGCCAGACGTGTAGCCCCCCTAACCTATGCATGCCAGTAACTTTCCACTCCATACTAACCCTAGAAAGTATAGCCAAACCCCTGTCTGACGTAGAGAGACCCCTTAGTCCATAAATACCCTTAAGACCCCTCAATAAAGGCCTTTAACCGTCCACCACATTGGTGTCAGCGTCCGTTATTGGCCACAAGGGATCCCACAAAAGGAGATCGAAGTGCTGGACCCCTGAAACCAGGTCATCGCGGCCTTCACAAGAAGGCAACATAGTGGTGCCGAAACCCGGGATCGGGACGAAGGGACGAGTCCGGGCGACGGGAGTACTCCTGGCCAGGGGACAGCACTCAACGCCGGAACGGCCATAACGAAGAAGGGGGACGCCCCAGAGACCCGCGATTCGTATGGAAGCGATAGCGAAGGTCGTAAGTCTGATACATATGCAATGGGGAATCAAATGTGAACTCAGGAATTTTAATCTCGCATTGACGAGACTCCTAGAGATTGGGGTCATTTCTCGACCCATAGATATATTACACCCTGGGGTGTGGCAGAAATGTACTGTCGCGCTAGCAGAGGACACAAAAGCCACAGGCAGCAGCAAAAGCCTGAAAGCGTGGGGGAAGGCAGAAGCCGCCCTACGCAAAGCATTAGAAGAACAGGAGACGTGGAACGTTGCGCGCTCCTGTTTGTTAATTGCGCCACAGCAGGGGGAGGGGGCGGTAACGCGAAACCCCCCTGGTGGCGACCCGATTGAGAGCGGGGAAGCGGGGGGGCCGGGCGCATCCCATCCCTCCTTCAGCCCAAAGCCCCCGGAGCTCTCAGAGCCCCCGGGGGACCCCCTGACCCCTTCAGGGGACCCGCCGGGGCCCAGACCACCTCCGGAGCCCCCCGGGGTGCCCGTGGACCCCTCGCCCAACCCTTCCCCGCCGATAGCCGACTTAGCGCAAGAAGCGGAGGGACTCGCACGGTCCTTTTGGGAGGGGCTGGCGGCAGAAGCTCGAAATATCGAGAGGGCAAGTGCGCGGGCGAGCGGCGGAGAGGATCCGCCGCCCTACCCGTTTGAATATGGCGCGGGTGGCCGGGGAGAGGGGTGGAGCCCGCCGGCTCACGGCGGGAAGAACCCAGAACCGCGGCCAGCCGCGAACACGCATGCGCGGGAAACCAGCGCTGAGCCCATGCCCGGCCGAGAGCCGTGGGTCCCAGCAGACGCGCATGCGTGGGGGTGCAACAGAGGGCAGGCACTCGCTCGGGAGCCGCGCCCACTGATGCCACCATATATGGGAGAGATCCCTCCCTGCGGGAGGCAGGGCGAGCCCAGGGGGCGGCACCGCCAGCAACATCAGCACCGCCCCCGAGGGGAGGAGCGGGGCCGTAGCCGGACAAAACGGCAGCAGAGGCCGGAAGTATATTGGCAGTCGACTTCCGACTCTGAAGGGAGCCACAGCTCCCCAGATCGCTCTGCGGAGCCCACCGAGTCCAGCAGCGACTCGGAAGCAGAGAAAACAGAATCAATGCGGTTTCGGACGAAACCAATTAAAACTTTTAACACAACCGGGAACCAGCCCCAATACGAACTCACCGACTGGGGTAAAATCAAAATCGAATGCGCGGAATGGGCATCCGCAGCATCGGTGCATGCCTTCCCGGTGAGAATTACGGGACCCCAGGGGAACCAGCAAAGAACGTATACTCCCGTTAATTCCAAAGATGTTCAAACAATAGTAAAAGCCATTTCAGAAAAAGGAATTAACTCAGGGGTGGTTTCCACTCTCGTGGATGGTCTTTTTAGCAATGACGATTTACTCCCTTTCGATATAGTGCAAATAAGCCGTATGCTTTTTGATGGGGTGGGTTTGATAATATTTAAGCAGGAATGGACGGACCAATGTGCAACCATGCTCGCTCAGACGGCGGGGGAAGGGCAGCCACTCCACGGGTCGAGTTTATCTAGGTTGTTGGGGAAGCACGACGAAGTGGCCACACCCCAGCAACAAGCTGCCCAGCTCCGGATCGAGGAAGTCAGGGCGACTTCCCGGGCGGCCAGAGAAGCTATACGCGCCGCATCCAGGGTGGTGGCCAGACCGACACCATGGTCGACCATCAAACAGGGGGAGAGTGAAAGCTTTACACAATTTGTTGACCGCCTTCAGGCTGCCGTGGACTCTTCTAGTCTACCCGCTGTCGCAAAAGGCCCGGTGGTAACTGACTGCCTTCGGCAACAATGTAACACCGTAACCAAAGATATATTGCGTTCCCTACCAGCCGGGGCCAGCCTGGCTGACATGATTAAGCATGTTGTGAGGGAAGAGCAGCTGACCCCACTCCAAGCAACCGTGCACACCCTAACCAGTGTGATGGCCTGCTTCAAATGTGGTCAGTCAGGTCATGTTGCGGCTAACTGCCCCCAGCCGGCACAGCGTCCCCAGGCAACACCCTCGCCCCAACAGCGCCCCAGAGGGACCTGCTGGAGCTGTGGGAAGAGAGGTCACCTCGCTAGGGACTGTAGATCCCGGCCCCGGGGAAACGGGAGGGGGGGGGGGCGTGCGGGCCATATTCAGCCCCCTCCCACTATGGATGCGAGACGGCCCATCTATGTCAACCCACAATGGGGCAGGGGATCCTCATACCCTATGCTCCCACAGGAGACGGTCAGTATTACACCCTCGCCAGCGATACAATGGCAGAGCTATGCAGTACCACCAACTGCACCCTCGCACCCCCCATCATCACAAACCACGCAAGCGCTACAGGGCCAGCAGGGGACGCCCCAAACCGGGACCCCTGGGTGGCCCTGGCCATGAGAATAGGGAAGGAACCCCCGAGGGTGTGGGGGACATGCCGCCTCTATGGCAGCCAGGACCCCCACATTGTAGGACTTCAGTTTTGGGTAGACACGGGATCAGACTGCACGATTCTCCCTCAGCGGCATTGGCCCAGACATTGGCGGTTTAAGGAAGTCCCCCCAGTGAACGGGGTGGGGGGACAAACCCGGGCGTGGAAAAGCACCCAGCTGGTGGCTATAACACTTCACACAAACAAGGGACCAGAACAGACAGTAGCAATTTACCCCTACATTTTGCAAAACTCTCCGCCACTAATAGGAAGGGATGTCCTTGCTATGCTAGGAGTCAAGATTACAAATTTATCATAGGGGCCACTGCTGTACACCCTCAGCTGCCGATCAAATTGACTTGGAAATCATCAGATCCTGTTTGGAGGGAGCAGTGGCCTTTGTCAGAGCCTCGAGTGGCAGCTTTGCTGGAACTGGTCAACCGTGAACTGCAAAAGGGTCACATAGAACCCTCCACCAGTCCATGGAACACCCCTGTGTTTGTAATCCCCAAAAGGTCCGGAGAGGGTTATCGTCTCGTCCACGACCTGAGAGAAGTGAACAAGACGATTCGACCCATGGGTCCGGTCCAGACACTGCTACCCATGAATTCAGCCATCCCTGAAGGACAGCCATGCGCAGTACTGGACATCAAAGACTGTTTCTTCTCGATACCCCTGCATCCAGACGACAGAGAACGCTTTGCCTTTTCCGTCGCGTTTCCAAACGGTAATCGGCCTAACCTCCGTTTCCAATGGAGGGTACTTCCCCAGGGCCTAGTGGACAGTCCGGTTATCTGCCAGATCACCGTGGACAGAGCGCTGATGCCAGTCCGACATTCCTACCCTGCCGCAACCATCATCCAATACATGGACGACATCCTAGTCGCTGCACCATCGACGAGCCAGGTGGACCACCTGGTGTCTGCGATCACAGAAACCCTCCGGGCCAACGGCTTCGAGATCGCCAGCGCAAAGGTCAAGAGAGGACCCTGCGTGACCTTCCTGGGAGTGGGGATCACAAGCTCCTACGTGACTCCTCCCAAGGTAAGGATCAACCGGGACATCAGGACACTTCACGATGTGCAATGCCTGGTGGGATCGCTGCAGTGGGTCCGCAACGTCATCCTGATCCCCCCCGAGGTCATGGATCCTTTATATGACCTCCTGAAGGGACAACACCCCTGGGAACCCAAGGAGCTGACACCACAAGCGGCGAGCTCCCTCGATTTCATTGATCAGCAAATGTCCACTGGCACACTAGCCAGGTGGAACCCGGCCATGCCCCTGGACTTATACATACACTTCACGCCAAAGGGCGGAGTAGGGGCACTGGCACAAGGGCCTTCCGAAAAGGCCCGGCCGATCCAATGGGTGGTCCTCGGGAGACCTGCCCGTGCATTCTCCCCAGGAGTCGAATGCATCGCTAACCTCATCAGGAAAGGCAGGAAACTCGCCCTGAGACACCTAGGAACTGAGCCGACAAGAATACACCTTCCCTTTCGCAAGCAACCGTCTGCAGAGTCACCCGCAATTTCAGAGCACCTAGCCCTTGCTCTCACCGGCTTCGGAGGAGAAATCTCCTACTCAGCAAAACCGCCCTGGACTCGGCTGCTGACCATCGTCGACATAGACATACCGCCAAAGGTCAAGGACCGACCGCAGCCAGGACCGACAGTCTTCACAGACGCTTCCTCCACGACTTCTACGGCAACGGCAGTGTGGCAGGCAGGAGAGCAATGGCATTGCATCAAAGCATGTGACCCCACACTGTCAGTGCAGCAACTGGAAGCAACAGCAGTAGTCTTGGCGTGCGGACTTTTCAAAGATGAACACCTCAATATAGTAACAGACTCTATATTCGTGGCAAGGCTTTGCCTAGCCATGGCAGGACCAGGTGTGTCAACATCTACAGCAGCCATAATGCTGGAAGAAGCGCTCTCTTCACGACAGGGCACCGTATCCATCATTCACGCCAACAGCCACGACCCAATCAAAGGTTACTTCCAGACAGGCAACGACAAGGCGGACGCCGCAGCAAAGGGTGTATGGACGTTGCAGGAAGCTCGCCAGCTGCATGAATCACTCCACATCGGGGCCAAGGCCCTGGCGAAGAGGTGTGGGATTTCAACAGCAGACGCAAGGCATGTGGTGGCTACCTGTCCCCACTGCCAGAAGTCACCCCTGTGGACCAGTGGGATCAACCCGAGAGGTCTCAAGCCTTCACAAATCTGGCAGTCGGACTTCACCTTGTGTCAACTGCTGAAGCCCCGAGCGTGGCTTGCCGTGACGGTGGACACTTTCAGCGGGATGATCGTGGCCACACAGCACCCCAAAACTAACTCTAAAGCCACAATTCAGCACTGGCTGACAGTCATGGCGTGGCTTGGCATCCCCAAGCAGATAAAAACTGACAACGGTTCCAATTTCACCTCCAAACCAGTGCAAGAATTCGCCTCGAAATGGGGCATCACACTAGTACAGGGTATCCCCTATAACAGTACCGGGCAGGCCATAGTAGAGCGGGCGAATCAGACCCTGAAAACCAGGCTGGAGGTGTTGGCAAAAGCAGAGGGTTTTGCCAATTCTATTCCCCCGGGAGAACAGGCACGCATGCTAGCAACTGCTTTGCTAGCACTGAATCAGTTTCCCAGGGGGGATGAGACAAACAGCCCTGTCCAAAAACACTGGGCCACCAGAGCTCTAGAGGAAGGCCCACAGGTTGCAATTAGAAATGAGCTAGGTGAATGGGAACAGGGCTGGAGGTTGATGCTCACGGGACGAGGGTACGCAGCTGTCAAAAAGGACGGCGAAATTAGGTGGTGTCCACTTAGGTCAATCAAGCCTGACCTTCATAGTGGGCGGGACAAGACTGATGAGAACTGTGAGTTTCTATTTACAGGACATGCTTATCGGCCGTCCCCGGGATGCGTACGTTCCCCTCCCAGAGGAAAGTGACAGCCCACCGAGCCACCGGACAGCACCTGAGAGACCCACACGGGCGAGACCCAAGCAAGCGCGGTGTTTCTGCGTGATCATGCTATTGGGGCTTGTCACCGGAGGACAAGCCAGCCCAGACTACTACCCTCATCAGCCCTTCAGGTGGGTCATGCAACACGTTGCTGGTGACAAGGTGCTCAGAGTCATCACCACGCCGAACGCCCCGTCCTTCATGCTTCACATCACCGACCTGTTTCCAGAACAACCAAAGGTAGACCCCTATTCTTCACACGCCACACACATGTACCTATCTTACTGGTGCCCAGCCTCAAACCCAGGAAAAAGTTATTGCAATCGCCCAGGGTGGGGATACTGTGGACACTGGGGCTGCGAAACAATAGTTACAGACGCCAGGCCGTCAGGACCTGGGTGGGACCCACAAGAGCCCGACAAATTCCTACAGTTCACCTGGGCGCCCGCAGGTTGCAAAACACCCGTCTTCCTCCAGGGAAGTTTCTATCGAAACCAACATAAAGTCCCCAAATTTCGGAAATGCACTCACTATAACATGACAGTTCTGCAGCCGAATCACCCTAGCTGGGCCGTGGGCAAAGCATGGACGGTAGTCCTTCAAGGGTCAGAAAAGTGGGTGAATGTGCGAATTACCAGATTCCCACCGTCAGCACCCAGAGCAGTCGGGCCCAACAAAGTGATCAAAAGCACACAGAAAGGGAAAAATATGACCTACCCCAAACCCTTACCCACAAGGGTCACCGACGTCCTGACTGGCGATGAGGAAGCCTTCCAGATAGGCCAATCAGCCAGCTCAGGCTCGAACCCAATCCTTCGCATGTTAGAAGCTACCTTTTTATCCCTAAATGAATCTAACCCGAACCTAACTGAGTCCTGCTGGCTTTGTTACGATGTTAAACCCCCCTTTTACGAAGGAGTCGCTTTAGATACCCCTTTCAGCTATTCCACAGCCGATGCCCCTCGCCAGTGCAGATGGGACACACCCCGCAAAGGAATTACCCTGAGTCAAGTCACAGGTCAGGGCAGATGCTTCGGCAATGCAACCCTAGCTAAGCGGAAAGGCGACATCTGCACCGAAGTAGTCGAGCCCGACAGAAAAAATAATAAGTGGGTAGTCCCATCCACATCTGGGATGTGGGTTTGCCAGAGATCTGGAGTGAGTCCCTGCATGTCTCTTGCCAAATTCGATAACTCTAACGACTTTTGTGTTCAAGTTCTGATCATCCCTAGGATCCTGTACCACTCAGACGAAGAGGTGTACCACCTTTCCGAAAATAACAACCGGCTCCACAAGAGAGAAATATTAACAGGTATAACTATCGCAATGCTGCTCGGCCTAGGAGCAGCTGGAACGGCAACAGGTGTCTCAGCCCTAGCGACTCAACACCAAGGATTGTCCCAGCTGCAGATGACCATCGATGAGGACCTGCAGAGGATCGAGAAATCCATTTCCTTCCTAGAAAAGTCAGTCTCTTCACTCTCAGAAGTGGTCCTGCAGAACAGGCGAGGACTGGATCTCCTGTTCATGCAGCAAGGGGGCCTGTGTGCCGCCTTGAAAGAAGAATGCTGTTTCTATGCTGACCACACAGGAGTCGTTAGAGACTCCATGGCAGAACTCCGAAACAGACTGGCTCAGAGACAGAAAGACAGGGAAGCCCAACAGAACTGGTTCGAATCCTGGTTCAACCAATCACCATGGCTAACCACCCTGATTTCTACCCTAATAGGTCCATTGGCAATACTGCTTTTAACTATTACCTTCGGGCCATGCCTGCTGAACAAGCTAGTCTCATTCGTTCAGGCCCGCATAGAACGGGCTAACATCCTGTTCCTGGGACAGCCACAATTCCTGTGAATTCAACAGGAGACACTGCCAGTCACGAGAGACTTGCCTGGCAGAAACGTACTCAGGTTTCCCAAGACCCTTTTCCCTAGTTAGATCTCAACTTCCTACCTCATTTCAGTGCCTATGTATAAGACTACCTCGTTCATTTGTGAAAGAGGGGGGGGAAGTGTGGTAGGCCAGGGACAGGCGCTCGGAAGATTTCGGGCTGTAACGGAAAGTTACAGGAATCCTTCTACCCCCCTCCCCATAGATAAGGATCACCCTTGGAATGTAGCCAGACGTGTAGCCCCCCTAACCTATGCATGCCAGTAACTTTCCACTCCATACTAACCCTAGAAAGTATAGCCAAACCCCTGTCTGACGTAGAGAGACCCCTTAGTCCATAAATACCCTTAAGACCCCTCAATAAAGGCCTTTAACCGTCCACCACATTGGTGTCAGCGTCCGTTATTGGCCACAAGGGATCCCACAAAAGGAGATCGAAGTGCTGGACCCCTGAAACCAGGTCATCGCGGCCTTCACAAGAAGGCAACAATGTACTGCCTTGGGTCTTTTTGTTTTAGCAAAAGGAGCTATTGAGAGGTGCCTGGCTAAAGTTAATAGCCAGTCTACAAAGGAGATTGCAAGGTAGGAAAAAGGCCTCGGGCTACACATCCTTTCCAGGGATATCGGGTGTATTTTGCTGAGATCCCCTGGGTGAGAGGGTTTAGATATCTTCTGGTAGTGGTATGCCAGCTGGCAGGGTGGCCAGAGGAGTTTCTTGTCGCTTCAGCAACTATTTCATCAGTTAACAAAAGATGTGGTGTGAAAAACACCAATCACTAGTGTTAAAATTTTAGAAGTTTAATAGTAATGAAATAGTAATAAAAATAGTAATAAAAATTAGGACAATAAGAATTTGGACAATCAAAGTTAGGACAATAAAAGACAATAAAAAGCAAAGAATTATGGATGTCTGGGTGTTATGCTCTGCCACAGAACACACTTCACTAACAAAGGATTAACCCTTAAAAGTAATAGCCTGTCGCATATTCATGTATCTCATACATGATGCAAATATTCTTTTCATACAAAGGGTGTCTTCTGCTTAATTTCTGCTCCCCCCCCCCCCCCCCCCCATCTTGTAAATCAATCGTCTCGGTCCCCATGAATCTGTGTTTTCCCGATAAAGAGGCAATAATTCTCTTGATTTCTTGGTGTCTTGTTGCTGTTATCTCTGTGTGAAGAATTTCTTGATTATCTTATCCATTCCTTGAGCTAGTCACAAAAATTATCTTACATTCTATTTTAATATTATGCTATAGCCTAAAATCTATATTTACCACACTACTTAAAAAAGATTAATACTACATACCTTTCTACCATAACATATAGGTTTCATTTTAATATTTGCAAAGAGCCAATGATATAATATACATTTTTCACAGTGGGATTGTGAAGGCAGTGGACTTGGACAGGGGGAACTCATTTTACAAGGGGATCCTTCAAAGGATTATGTCTTCTCTGAGAATTCAGTGGGACCTGCATATCCCCTGGCACTCGAAGAATTCAGGTCAAATAGAAAGGATGAATGGAAATATAAAGAAACATCTTTTGAAGCTGGTGACAGAAAGTAAGATGCCATGGATATGGCTTTTGTCATTAACTTTGGCAAAAATAAAATCCAAAACCTAAGGAATATTCAATTATTCCCCTTCACAAAAAATGAATATTATATGATTGGTTCGTCACAAATATTAAATTGAATACTATATGTGTTATGTTGGAAAGTTATTTTGTAGTACTGTATTAATCCTTTTTAAGTAGTGTGTTAAATATAGTTTTAGGCTATACAGAATATTAAAATAGAAACCATGTGATGTAAGATACTTTTTCTAACTAGCTCAAGAAATAGATAAGATAATCAAGAAATTCTTTGCACAGAGATAACAGCAACAGGACACCAAAATCCTCAAGAGAAGAATTATTGCCTCCTTACCAGGAAAACTTGGACTACTTCCACCTCCTTCCAGACTCCAAGGAGCCAACAAGATGAAGGAGGGGAATTTGACAATAAACAGAAAAATCCCTAGTTTGAAAGGAATCTTTGTATCATGTATGAGATACATGAATATGCAACAGGCCATTGCTTTTAGGCATTTTTCCTTTGTTAGCAAAACGTGTTCTGGGACAGAGCAGAACACCCGGATGTCTGTAATTCTTTGCTTTTATTGTCCTTTATTGTCCTAACTCTGATTATCCAAATTCTTATTCCTCTAATTTTTATTACTATTTTTATAACTATTAAACTTCTAAAATTTTAAAACAAGTGATTGGTGTTTTTCACAATTTGGTGCTGAAACCTGGGAATTAACACCTCACTGCCGGGGCCTCAGAGGATTCCAAGTGAGGGAGGAGCACCTTGCCAAGTTTGGCATCCTCGCTCTGTTTCTTCTGGCATGGCTGGCAGATGCAGGTTCCAACCAGTGGACAAAAACAGACAATAAAACAAAGAAAAGGGAAAAGGCTCCCTAAAACCACGGTAATTGGCCCCCTAAGACTAGCAGTGTGCATGAAGACCCAGAAAGGAAAAAAGTATTGGTAAGTACTTTCGGGGGGGCAGGTATGGGGGGATGAATGTGTGTGTGAATGAGAGGCAGCTGGTTATCCCAGACCTGCTACGTGAGTGAGGAGTCTCCCATGCTGGGTTTCCATCTTTTGGTGAGAAAAATGGCCAGTAAAGAGACAAAGCGAGAGATAAAAGGAGAGAATCTTCCGGGGTAACTAGGACTGGGTCCCAGGGAGGGGTTGGACCCCTCGGAGGACAGGAGCAGAGGAGTTTCCTAGCACAATCCATTAGGAAATGGGACAAAAGGGAGGGGCCCCTAAAAATTCTGCTGGGTTGAGGGATAAAATGCCCAAGAGCATCCAGGGTTAAGCAAAATTCTGCCGGATTGAGGATATGCCCAAGAGCATCTGGAGTTGGACAACACAGCTGGGTTGAGGGATAAAAATGCCCAAGAACATCCAGGGTTGGACAACACAGCTGGATTGAGGGATCCCAAGAACATCCGGGGCTGGCCAGTAACATTTGAAATTGTAACAGGTGATTTGAAAGTAAAAGGTACCTTATTGTTGTCTTGTAGTGCGTGAGAGTGAGTCACACACAAAATCAGCTTCCTGGGCGGGTGAGGGGCTGTGGCAAAAGGTGTATGTGACCCGCAAACAGGCCATTGTTCCCCAGGCATGTGGGGACTGTGGAGAGAGAGAGTGAGTGACACACAGACAGCTTCACAGATGAACTGGCACCAGAGGCAACCAGATTCAGGGCCCTTCCCGGAGGCCCAGCGATACTGAAGACTAGTGGACAACCCCAAGGCGAGGGGGGGCTACAGTATCGTAGAACCTTTTTAGCACTGTGACTGCGAGAAGTCATGTGGCCTATTCCTCAGGGTATGGGGGGTGAGAAGTCCAGCTCAGGCAAGGTGCAGAGGTCCGAACCCCTGACTCTGAGGCTATCTCTAGGGAAGAGGGATAGCCAAACCTCGAGGGAGGTGGAAGGGGTCAGGATGGGGGACTCACACCAACCAGTGATTCTCTGGCAACAGCAGTCCTCTTCTTGTGAGTCTAAGAGGTTTGCTAACGTTTCCTTCCTCTGTCCAATAAAAGAAAAGGGAAATTAACAGGACTGCTTAACCTAGGTCAGTAGGGAAACATAGGGGTGTCAGTACTTAAAGTTCTGGGGTGTCGAGAAAAAGTACCTTACGTAGTCTGTGTGAGGGAGGCACCAAGGACCAAAAACTCGGCTAAGCAGAAGTCGAGAAGTATGAATGAACAGGCTGGAGGATGCGAATGAATATGTGAGAATGAGTGAGAAATAAAAGTGAGTAAATGTAGATGAATGAAAGTATGTAATGTAGATTGTTTACTTCAAGCTTCACTATATCTACTTGGAGGGAGGAGTATTGTATTGAATTGTATTGTGAGAAAAAAATTTTTTTTGTGTGCGTAGTCGGAAGGTGGTATTCAGATTGCTAGAGACAGCTGGAAATGGAGGCAGGGGACGAATAGATAAGATCTTGAAAAATGGAACAGAAAACCAGTAAGTTAGGTACAGGAAAAAAGGGGAATAAAAGGGTACCAGCAGAAATACCCCAACATAGCCCTTTGGGAGTTATGTTAGCTGACAGGGATACGAATCCTTGTACAAGGAAAAAAGACAGGGTATGCAGTGGTTGATGGGAAAAACATGCAAACTATTGAAAAAAAGGGAAATTAACCTTAAACTGGTAAGCTCAAACTTGTGAATTATATGGTCTAAAAAGAATACTGGAATATTTAGCACACAAGAAAGGATCTATGTAAATACTGATTCAAGGTGTGCCTTTGGAGTAGTACATACCTTTAAAAAATTTGGTAAGAAAGGGGATTACTTACTTTAAGAGGAAAGGCATTAGTACATGAAGAACTCATTTTAGAGGTTTTAGAGGCATTAAAATTACCTGAAAGAGATAGCTATAGTACGTATTAAGGGACATCAAAAGGGAAAGACCCCAGAAATAAGAGGAAATAATTTGGCAGATCAAGAAGCTAAAGATGCAGCAGAAAATGAGACTGAAAGAGTTATGTTAATTTTAACCCCAAATAAGGGGTGTAGGAACAATACTTCCCTGTTTTTCCCTATCCTGGAAGCCAGGAATACAAAAGACTTGCTGCTGGCCCTGTATTAGACTTCAGATTTTGAAGATAAGGCAGAGACCTTCCCAATCTTTCCTTATCACATAGCCTCCTGCTGCTATTTCCTTTAACCATATTTCTCCACACTCCCCTTCTACCAATCCTTTCCCAAACAACACCATATTGCCCTCTCTGGGAATGGGTTGCCAAGACCCTTTCTCAGTGCCTCTTATTGCCCCCTCTGAGCGTCCATGTTCCCCATATTGCCCTCTCTGGGGATACACCATTGTGAAAAATGCATATTATATGATTGGCTCTTTCCAAATATTAAAATGAATCCTATATCTGTTATGT